CGATTGAAAACGCCAACCGCGCCCTCCGCCGCCGCCCGCTCCGCGCACTCCGCACCTCAGAATTTGACTTCAGCACTGCGCCTCCTCTGAGTGTCCGTATGCGTTATTCTTTCCTCCTAGTTGTAGGACTTCCACTCAGCCAGCGTTCCTGTGGGTCTGGGTGATGTCCGTTCCGTCTTTTAGTTTCACTTTTGAAGTGGTTGTTCGAGGCAGCAAACTCCGGCGTTAACCTATGCCGCCATCTTGGTTCTCTCGAAACAATGTAGATTTTAGAGTCAGATTTTAGGTTACAGTGTCGTTTCATGTCTGTTATTAAAGTATAAAGTGCTTGCTAAACAAAAGTGAGATAAGTAAGTAAATTAGTAAAATAAAATACTGCATTTATTTAAGAATTTTTACTTTGATATTTTTGCAAACTAAGACAATTTGATTTACGTTTTTTATTTTTAGTTGCCTGTGCCCCTGGAGTCTGTAAAAGATATGCTTAATTCAGTCAAGCAGCAACTCGATGACTATAGTGAAGGAGGTCCTCTTTATAAAAATGGTTCTTTGCGTAATACAGATTCGGAAATGAAATATTCCACACCATCTCCTACCAAATATTCTCTGTCACCAAGTAAAAGTTACAAGGTAAGTGCGAAAGAAGTGAATTATTCCATTGTGGAATATGTTTCTGTTCTAAATACTATTTTATTGTTGTTATTTTTAGTATTCTCCCAAAGCACCACCTCAGTGGGCAGAAGATCAAAATTCTTTACTGAAAATGATCTGCCAAGAAGTAGAGGCCATTAAGGTAAATCACTTAATTCGTCTATCCTGTGCCTTCTTTATTCCAAGGTTCCTTCTTTATTCCCTCACTTCTTTCTGAAGGTGTTCAAAATGTGCCTTTGCTTGTTACTATAGAATCATACTGTGTTTTGTATACCTCCATATTAACACCATATTTTTGAAATTATCTATGTCTGCATCCTCCACCAGATGTGAATTTTTCAAAGGTACATACTCTTTTATTCAATACATAGCATTGTTTCTGGCATAGAGGAGGTCACCAAGTGATTTAATTGAACTAGGGAAAATACCTTGGTCTATGAATTCATTTCTCAGTCTTAACTCTAGTGTGTGTGTGTCAAATTTATAGCTGGGGTCCTAGCTGGTTTGGCTCAGTGGATAGAGCATCAGCCTGTGGACTGAAAGGTCCCAGGTTTGATTCCTGGGTTGCATGGTCCATCCCCATTAGAGGACATGCAGGAGGCATTCGATCAGTGATTCTCTCTCATCATTGATGTTTCTCTCTCTCTCTCCCTCTCCCTTCCTCTCTGACATCAATAAAAATATATTTAAAAAAATTTATATCTGGGAATTGATAAGTGCTCTGAACTTCAGAAAGTCTCTTTTATCTTTTTAATATTTTCATATCAATTCGACTTAATTATTTAAGGAAATAGTTATATGTGTATGATCTTATTTGATCTCTATGAAAGTGACCTTAACTATCACAGTAGTGTGTGAGCATTAAAAATGCTGTTGGGAAGGGAACAGACTATTGAATTTGCACAAATATTTTTATGTCAATTTTGTGTAATTGTGTCCTATTATATTATATACACTCTTCACTTATAATATATTGGTAGTGACCAGTACATTTTTGTTGTTGATGCCACCAGTTTCTTATTTATGAATGTACAGCATCTAGACTAGTCACAGTAGATGGATGAACGGGGGAATTTATTTAGCTGGAAAATTCAAGAGATTTTTGACCCCAGTTGTTAGGCTTTTGGGAAATTTGTATTTCAAAATACCTCTAGAAGAAGGTAATAGACATGCTGACTCTGTCTCTGACTTCACTCATTATAACTGATCAGATACCTGGGCCCACACAATGAAACTTGATATTATTTTCTAGCGTGAACTTGTTGTATGCTAACATGATGGTGGTTTTGCTTTTTTAACACTTTAAGTGCCATGTCAGTCACTGGAGACTGACACTGTATTTTCCTTCTGGACCGGTCAGTCACTGGTGCCGCCAGCATATCGGTGAAATTGGATATCGTGGGCTAAGCGGAAAGGAAGACAAAACAGGCTTGGTGCTGAACATGTTAAAGTAGTTTCTTGTTAAATTCCTGATTTGTAAGGGACATTTTATAGGTTCTAGGGTTGGGGAAGGTGTTGTCCTTTAGTTGTCTGTAAAATGGCAAGAGGTCTGATAGCCACATGGATACCATTAGAAGGCCATACATCTGCCTTTTTGTCTAGGCAGCAGAGTGGTATTATGAAAATATTTTTGGAGTAAGATCTATTTTCAATTCTAGCTGTGTTATTTCCTATATCTTTCTTTCTCATTTTAAGATGTAAGTTACTAATATTATCTAACTGTGTAAGGATTAAATACTTAGGTAAAGTGTTAATAATATATTATCCTATATAATAAAAGGCTAATATGCAAATCGACCATATGGTGGAACAACCAGTCACTATGATGTGCACTGACCACTGGGGGCTGACACTCAACACAGGTGCTGTCCCCTGGTGCTCAGTGCACTTCCACAGGGAGAGTGCCGCTCAGCCAGAAGCCAGGCTGGAGGTAAGGAGTGACGGGTTTGGGACTGCGAGTGCCCTGGACTGTGAGGAGGGGATTGGGCCTAAGATCAGGCAGACATCCCCTGCA